CTGTGGCATGCATGCCCCCTCCTCCGGGTGCTTGGACCCTGGCGACTCCCAGGTGTCAGGGAGGATGGCAGATGTGTGTCGGGCACATCGGGAGCTGATTTGCCAATGTGGGATGCATGGCAAACCCAGCAGCCCTCAGCCTGGGGTTGCAGCACAGAGCTCAGGCTTGCGTGCCTTCATGACTGTGGTAGGCTGGATAATGGTCCTAGAGAGGTCCACGCTCTGGTGCCCGTGACCCATGAATGCAACACCTCACAGGCGGGAGGGGCTCTGCAGGTGCAGGTGGGACTGAGCCGAGAACCCTGAGATGGGAGATGGTCCTGGGTGGCCGGTGGGCTCAGGGTCCTCAGGATGTCCCCATAGGAGGGGATGCTGGAGGTGAGAGGAGGCAACACAGGGAAGCAGAGGACAGAGTCCTGCTTCCAGAGTCAGGGGAAGGGGCCACGCACCCATGGCCCCCACAAGCGAAACAGGCAGAAAAAGGCTCCCTTGGAGCCTCCAGAAGGAACTGGCCTTGCCACACCTTGATTTTCACCCCAGGACCCCCACTGTGGACTTCTGCCCAGCAGAGCTGTCAGAGAATGAAGCTGTTGTCTGAAGCTAAGCAGTTTGTTTTGTAGCAACAGGGAGCACGAAGGATGACTGCTGACTGTGCTCCCAGCGGGTGTCCTCCCAGCAGCTGTCCTCAGCAACACCCACATTTGTTGTTTTTTGAGGTAGGGTCTGGTCTGTCACCCAGGCTGGAGCGCGTTGACACAATCATGGTTCACTGCAGCCTTGAATCTCTGGGCTCAAGCAATCCCCCCACCTCAGCCTCCCGAGTAGCTGGGACCACAGGCACACACCACTGCACTTGGCTACATTTTTGTAGTGATGGAGTCTCCCTATGTTGCTCGGGCGGGCCTCCAACTCCCAACCTGCTGTGCTCCTCCGGCCTCAGCCTCCTGAGGTGGTGGAACTACAGGTGTGACCACTGCATCCGGCTTAATGCCCACGTACAATAGCTTCTTATTCAGCCAGATGTCCCTGCTAACCAGGTCTAACCATTATTAACATTATTGCTACTTCAGGACTGTGGGCTCTGGTGCCCTGGGCTGAGGCCGTCTGCAGCTCTGCCCACCAGGCCCAAACTACAAAGTCTCTGGTGGAAGGCAGAGGAGGGCCGAGAGGTGCATCTGTGCCATGGAATATTATTCGGCCATAAGAAGTCAGAAAACCTGGACATGAGCTAGCACGTGGATGAATCTTAATAAGCCAGTCATGGAAGGACAGACTGTGATTCTACTTTCAGGAGGTCCCTGGAGTCCTCAGAGCCCTGGACACAGCAGCAGACAGAGGCGCCAGGGCTGGGGTGGGGAGTCCATGTTTCGTGGGGACACAGCTTCAGTTTGGGAAGATGGAAAAGTCCTGAAGATGGTGGTGGTGACGGCTGCCCCCCAGCAGCGAACGGCTTAGTGCCCCTCAACTGGGAGCTTAAAACAGTTAGAACAGCAACTTTTCTGCAGAGTTTGCCAAATAAAGAAGGGATGGTGGATGGAATGTGAGCCTTTTTCCTCCCGAGAGGCAGTGACACCATTTCCTACTTCTTCAGCACCCAGTCTGCAGTGGACCAGGCATTTCCCCACAGGCAGCTGCTGCCCCCATCCGGGTCACAGCCCAGGGGCAGGAGACTCAGCAGGGGGCAGGCACTGAAACCAACCTGCGCCCTGGACTTCCCGAATTCTCTGAGGCACCCAGGAGACCCTGGGAGGCTGTCCTGGCTAGAGTCTGGCTTGGGGTCTTCCCAGTGTCTGCAGAGCTGTGTGTAGGGTGCTCATGGCTCCTGCACCCCCACTCCTGCACCCCCACTCCTGCACCATGGACAGCACAGTGCATGCAGGGAACCCTGCAGAAGCCAACCCTGTGTGGCACCTGGACTTGATCTCATCAGAGAGCTCACATTTTGTCAGTAACACCAGCTCCTATTTCTCAAGAACTTGTGTTCTGGCAAACAGCACCGAAGCGCTTGCACCAGTGTGCTCTCCAGGGAGCACGGGGTTAGAGTCCCACCGCCGACCCTCGGTGGCTAGCTTGGGACGGTCAGCCAGCGACTCAGCTCGTCTGAGGCCTGAGCTGGGCAGGGGCTTGCACTGTCTGGGATTCAGCATGTATTTAATTCTAAGTGAGGCTGAGCGATTTTCGTGGGAAGCACCATTTTACTGTTCCCCACATCCCATCAGTCAAGTGGACAGGAGGTGACATCCTTAACTAGCCCCTAGCTGGACGCTCGGAAGTGCCCTGGCTTCTGGTTTTGTGACGTCACTAACATATCAATTCGCATGCTTTGGAATACTCCCTTAGGACGGGGGTGAGAACCATCCTGCTCGGCTCTTCACCCACACAACAATTACTGAGGCCTTTGGTCAGCTGCAGCAGCTGCAACACTGGGACACGTGTCACCAGGCCCCACGCGGAGGGCGACTGCTTCTTACCGGGACAACCGATGTAGGGGCGCACATCAGGATGATCTGGGGTTTTGGGGTACACAGCAAGGGCTAGGGCTGGTGTTCCTGGGGTGACTTTTGTAGCTGGAGCAGCCCAAACTTCTCAGATTCTCTAACGTGACACAAATGAATGTTTCCTCCTGGACATCCGCCCGAGGATATCCAAACCCTTGGGGGCCTTTTGGAAGCATAATCAGGACCTGGACCTCATGAGGATGACTGGGAAGGCAGCCCGGACGCCAGACAACCAGACTGTGTGGCAGCACGTGGCTTCCAAATCTACACTGACCTCAAATCTGCACTGGGACCACAGCCTTGGGTCAGTTCAGCTCCTTGCTGTGCCTTTCAATGACAAGGTGTCCCCCAGGCGGCCATAGGGTCTGCGGTGCTGAAGGTGGGTGCTCTACCCTGTTAGGAGTGCAGGGGCCTCCATGCAGTCCAGGGAGGCCAGTGCTGAGGGGAGGGGTGCCCGAGCCCCACCCTGATGGGGTGCTCTGTCTCCTGGTGTGGCCATCCGAAAATGCAGGGAGATTTTTCCAGAGTAATACCCAGCTATGTCTGTTCAGACACAGTCATGGCCCCTCGTCCAGATATCCCACCACTCCGACAACACAAACTCCCAGGCCTAGGGCTTGGTGCTCATAGTCCTTCCCCAGACACTTCCAGAACGTTCCATGACACACACTGGCAAGTTTTCGTCTTCTCCTGCCTCCTCATGGTAACAGAGCTTGATCCACAATGACACACACTCTGCACAGGTCTTATCAGGTTAGTGGGGACAGGATGGATGGGGCAGGAAGTCCAGGAGAGAGGCAGGAAGATCCACACCCAGACCTCAGCACCCAGACCACCCAGCACCCAGACCACTCAGCACCCAGACCACTCAGCACCCAGACCTCTTAGCACCCAGACCACTCAGCACCCAGACCTCAGCACCCAGACCACTCAGCACCCAGACCACTCAGCACCCAGACCTCTTAGCACCCAGGCCTCCCAGTGTGGGAGTAAAGTCTCATAAGTGCCAAAGCAGGAGACTGAAGCCTCAGCCAGTTCCTGTCTGATGTACAAAAAAGACTCTAGTTAGGAGTAAGTAACATGAGTGACTGGATATTCATCTTATTGAATATGAAGTATCATGAGTGACGAGATATTAGTCTTACCGAATACTAAGCCTTGATTAAAGGCTTCTTGTGCTTTATGCATACTTAGGAACTTTAGGTCGCTGTGGTTAGCGACTGATGAGAAATGCTACGGAATGTGGCCAGGAGGCAAGAGCGTTAATACCTGGGGAACACTGACTGGTGGTGAATGCCGAAAGCCAGCCCTCTGTCACACTTGCATACGGGTTGCTGGAGGGCATCTAAAGGCTCTGCAGTAGCGCCAGTGCTCGGGGAAGCACCGGCTACTCAGCAGACCTTGGAAGGGAACATTCCTGTCCTTGGGCAGGTCAGAGAACACTCGACTCCCCTGAGCTATCGTGGAAGGACTGATATCAGTCAGCCCAACCCGCAGCTACCCGGGGGTTGACTGTCTCTCCGTGGTGCTGTGCTATATAGGCCAGTGTCTGCCTTCGCTCCCTACGTGTGCACCTGGTTCCTCTTTTGAAGACAGTAAGAAGTAGCATTATTTTTGGCGCCTTTGTTCTTACTTGGCAAGCGCAGCATACAGTGCTGACGCATCTCGCTGTCCCCTTCCTCGGCTACTTGAAAGTCTCGGCCCCTTTGTTCCTTAGCCATGTGATTTGCTTGAACTCACCCTATTCTCCCGACCCCTACTTTGTACCCAATAAAAGTCAGAGTGTCCAGGCACTTGGGTCCACTACTGGGACTCCGTGCAGTGGGTGGTAGTGGACCCCTGGGCCCAAACTTTTTACCTCTCTATCTCAGTGTCTTGTGTTTTTATTTCTACAGTCTCTCGTTTCTGCACCCGTAGAGAATACCCTCTAGACTCAGCAGGGCTGGACCCTATAACATAGCACCCAGATCTGTCAGCACCCAGATCTCCCAGCACCCAGACCTTGGCACCCAGACCTCCCAGAACCCAGACCCTGGCACGCAGACCTCTCAGCACCCAGACCCTGGCACCCAGACCTCCCAGCACCCAGACCTCTCAGCACCCAGACCTCAGTTCCATAGCCAGAAGCCTGCCTGGCCCTGGCACTGTCCTCCAGCCCTGGAACAATGTGGTTGGGTCTCCTTGGTCCACAATGACCAAATGTCTCACAATTCTCTAGGCCCTAGATACCCAATATTTTAGCTCCATGTTGTTCAAACTTTGAGGGTCTGACGAGCAGAGCAGTTTCTGGCGGAGGCCTATGGACCGATGCTGCGTCCTGAAACCCAACCTAACTTGGAGCCTCTGCTGTCTCCCGCTGGGGGGGTGGGGTTTGCCAAGGCCACCACCAGTGGTGCTTCCTCCGTCCCAGGCGCCTCCAGCTCAGCCCTCCTCCCGCTTCACTAACCCGCAGCCCAGCCCCAGCTCTGCCCCGTCCCCACCCCGTCCCCGCCCCGTGCTCACCCGCTCCTCTTCGGCGCGGATGTCCGGCATGGTGCTCAGGCAGAGGCCCACGGCCGTGACGGCCACAAAGGACACGGACACGCAGGCGAAGAGCTTGCCCGCCAGCCCCGAGTGCGGGTTGTCCACCACGTCGCGCAGGCGCCGCCGGCCGCGCTGCAGCCGCCCCCGGGGCCCCAAGGCGCGCGCCGGGCTCCCCTGCGCCCCGCGCTCCGCCGGCTCCGCGCGCGCCTCGGCCGCCTCCTCCTCGCGGCGGCGCAGGCGGCGCAGGCAGCAGCGCTCCAGGCGCGCCTCGTCGATGCCCCAGTAGGCCAGCTCGTCGCGGAAGGCCAGCGCGCACGGGCCCCGCAGCAGCCGCAGCTTCCCCGCGCGCAGCAGCGCCACGATGGCGCGGAAGGCGCACGGGCTGCGGTCGAAGAAGAACTCGTCGCGGCTCACGTCGTAGTCGTCGCACACGCGCAGCAGCTCGTCGTGGCCGCGGCAGGCGCGCAGGCGCTCCAGGCGCGCGAGGGGGCATTGAGCAAGCGCGGCCCAGGCCAGGCGCACGCGGCAGCCGCCCACGTTGATGATGACGTGCCGGGCGCGGGCCGTACCGCCCACAGCGCCGCCGCCAGGAGGCTCCGCGTGCCCGGGGAGCAGGGCCATGGCTCCATGCGCGGGACCGGACGGACCCAGGGGCTCCCGCCGGGCTCAGGAGGCCGCGCCTGCAAACGGAACGGAGCGCGTTAGGGCCGCGAGAGCTGAGCTGGGGAGCGCGTCCGCCCGCGGGGATCCAGGCTCTGGGCGGGCACTGAACCGCGGCCCCTCCGCCCGCCCCGCTCCCGTTCCCGCTCCTGCGAAGGCCCCACGTCTGCGCCTGGTTCCCGCGGGGGCGCCTCAGGCGTCCGGGGACCCCGCCCAGTGGCGACCTGGCCTTGAGTTATCGCCAAGAGAACAGCCGGGTGTTCTCCAACTATGGGCCTGGAACAAGTGTCCAACGGAGTTTTGACAAATCGATGCAAACTGAAAAGAGCCAGATGTTTCAGGACGGACCCCGCCGACCAGTAAGGCCGTCGCGATGTCTGGAGGGAGAGACGCAGCCCCCGTTTAGTTTGTGCGCCGCGGACCAGCCACGTCAGAGCACGAAGGGGACCCTACTCAGGCGGAGAGACTGCAGGGTAAGGAGCTCCGGAAGTCCATCCCTACCTTAACACAGTGAAAAACCTGGGAAAAAACCGTCGAGAGTCAAGTTTTTTGGGACTCCGGAAACTAACCAAAAGCTTGCATCACCCATGGGACACTGAGGAAGAATAGCTGAGACTTGGTCACAATAACAACAAACGGCTTTGGCCGTTTCACAGACCCTGCACCCCCGCTCCGCGGAGGTCTCGAAAGTAGCAGTCTGCATTCCCGCTACCAGCACCAGCACTGGGAGGAGACGGACAGGCCTCATTCACTAAGGATCGTAATTATTGTGGCTCCATAGAGGATTGCTCAAAGGGCCTGCCTTCATCTCCTGTAACTTGGAAATCCCTCAGTGCAAAGGCAGCCACCTGGGCAGTTTTTGTCAGAAAACGTTTATAGGAAAGTGTTTTAGCTATTGCTGCCTGAGGCAATGGATGAGAGTTAGGACCATTGCCTAACACAAAGCTTGGGATGGAAGGCTGGGGAATGAGATGATTTGGGAAATAAGGGCGTGAAAAAGTTCCAACAAATTCCTGAGAATGCGGAAGGGCACGCACATGGTGGGGTGTGCACATGCTGGGAAAGGCCGGAGAAGTCCCAAAAGTCACTTTTCTGGCTGTCCTTCAGATTCTGCGAGCAGGAGGTGATAAGACAGAGGTTTGACCAGCCTGGCTGATGCTGAAGGTGGCCCCAAGACACACACACAGCCCATCTGCAAAAACAAGTTTTAGTTTTTATTCCAGACATTTAAGGATCTATGTCCAATCACTTGCTGCCCACTAAGCTACTGGAACAGAGACATCAGGGGCCACATAAGACAAAGAATAGTTACTAGACAAACCACAGTAGCTACAAAAAAAATCCTGGGGAGAGGGAAGAGTCTGATTCCAGAACTGTCACTTATTAAAAATCTACAGTTTTCAACACAAATTTACAAGGCTTACAAAGAATATAAAAGTGTAACTCATAGACAGGAAAAAGCAACTAATATTCCTGAAAAAGCCCAGATATTGGATTCACTGGAAAAAGACGTCACATAAGCTGTATTTAATATCTTCAAAGATCTAAAGTAATTTGTGAGAACGACGTCTCACCAGAGGATATCAATAAAGAGAAGTTATTAAAAAAGTGATAGAAATTATGTGTTGAAAGCATAATAGCTGAAATGAAAAGTGTATTAGAGGATCTCAACAGCAGATATGAACAGGCTTAAGAAAGAATCAGAGAAATTGAAGATACATCATTTCATAGTATCCTATCTGAGCAGCAGAAAGAAAATAACCGAAGCAAACTGAGCAGCGCCCAAGAGACCTGTGGGATACCATCAGATGTACCAACTTTTGCATAGTGAGAGTCCCAAAAGGAAAGAGAACAGGAAAGAAAGAATATTTGAAGAAATAATGGTTTAAAAAAACACTTCAAATTTGATGAAAACATTACACGTCTAAGATATTCAACAAACTCGAAGTAAGGTAAATTCAAAGACATCGACACTGACACACCATAATCAAGCTGTCTAAAGACAGACTGGACAGGCACAGTGGCTCACACTTGTAAGCCCAGCAGTTTGGGAGGCCAAGGCAGATGAGTCATCTGAGGTCAGCAGTTCAAGAGCAGGCTGACCAACATGGTGAAAACTTGTCTCTACTAAAAATACAAAAATTAGCCGAGAGAGAGAGAGAGAGAGAGAGAGAGAGAGAATTTTGAAAGCAGCAAGAGAGGAGCAACTTATCATATATGGTGGAGCCTCAGTAAGATTAGTAGTTAATCTTTTTCCTCAGCAGGCAGTGGGATGACATATTTAATGAACTGAAAGGGAAAAAAAACTTGTCAACCAAGAAATTTGTATGTCCTTCAAAAATGAAAGAGAGAGGCCAGGCATGGTGGCTCACACCTGTAATTCCAGCACTTTGGGAGGGTGAGGTTGGCAGATTCTTGAGGCCAGGAGTTTAAGACCAGCCTGGCCATCAAAAGAAACCACAAGGGAATTAAAATGGCACACTGGAAAAATGTCTATTTAACACAAAAGAAGGCAGCAACAGAAGAACAAAAAATATGTAAGACACAGGGAGAAGAAATGGCAAACTAGCAGAAGTCCTTCCTAATCAAGAGTCACCTTAAATGTAAATGGATTAAACTCAACAATTAAAAGACAAAGATTGGCTTAATAGACTAAAAACAATAACAACAACAAAAACCATAATCCAAGCATATAATGTCCATATAAGAATCTCTTTATATTTAAAGAGAAATACCTTGAAAATAAAAAGAAAAAGAAGAAGAGCTGGAGTGGCCATGCCAATGTCTGACAAAATAGGTTTTCAGGCAAAAATTGTTGTGAGGGACAAAGAAGGACATTATGTAATGATAAAGGGTCAATCCATGAACAGTTGCATACCAGCAAATTAAATATTGAGGATGATGTGAACAAATTCCTTGAAACATGTAAGTACCAAACTGACTCAGGGAGAAATAGAAAATCTGAATAGAGCTATAACAAAGAAGGATTAAATTAGTAATAAAAAAACTTTCCCCAACAAAATTCCAAGGACAAGATGGCTTCACTGGCAAACTCTACCACATATTTAAAAAAGAATGAATACCAATCCTTTTCAAACTTGTCAAAAGACCAAAGAGGAAGGAATGCTTCATAACCATTCTCTGAGGAGACAAGGACATCATGGGAAAAGAAAACTACAAACCAAGAACCCTGATAGAAACAGAGGCAAGGCTGGGCACAATGGCTCACACTTGTAATCCCAGCACATTGGGAGGCTGAGGCAGGCAGATCACCTGAGGTCAGGAGTTCAAGACTAGCCTGGCCAACATGCAAAACCCTGTCTCTACTAAAAAATACAAAAATTAGCTGGTGTGGTGGTGGGTGCCTGTAATCCCAGCTACTCAGGAGGCTGAGGCAGGGAGAATTGCCTGAACCTGGGAGGTGGAGATTCCAATGAGCCAAGATCACGCACTGCACTCCAGCCTGAGCAACAGAGCGAGACTCCATCTCAAAAACAACAACAACAACAACAGAGACAAAAATCCTCAAGAAAACACAAGCAAAATAAATCCGGCATCACATTAAAAGGATTGTATATGATGGCCATGTGATCATTTATCATAGAGATTTATCACAGGAATACAAGGGTGGCATGACACACAAAAATTAATATATACATATTCATAGGATGAAGGGAAAAATGTGATAATTTCAATAGATGCAGAAAGGGGATTTGACAAAGTCTAACATCCTTTCATGATTTAAAGAAAACCTAAATAACTAGGACTAAAAGAGAACTTCCTCAACATGACAAAGTCCACATAGGAAAAACTCAGTTAACTTCATCAGCAGTGAAAAACTGGATCCTTTCCCTCTCAGACCAGGAACAAGACTGAAATGCCTGCTCTCATCAGTTCTACTTAACATTGTACTGAAAATTCTAGTCGGAAAAATTAGGCAAGAGAAAGAAAGAAAAGGCATCCAGACTCAAAAGAAAGAAGTAAAAGTATATTTTCAGATGACTTGATCTTATGATCTTATATACAGAAAATCTTAACACACACACACACACACACACACACACACACCACTATGAGAATGGGTTTAGCAAAATTGCAAGACATGAGATCAATATAAAAAAATCAGTTGTATTTCTATGCAAGAGCAGTGCAGAATCAGAAAAGGAAGTTAAAAATCCATTTATAAGAGCATCAGAAAGAATAAAATACTTAGGAACAAACTTAACCAAGGAGAGGAAAGACTTAGACTTGGACACTGAAAACTACAAACATTGGTGGAAGACATTTTAAGACTAGGTGAATGAAAAGACATCCCATGTTCATGTATTGAAGACTCAATATTGTTAAGATGGCAATCTTCCCTAAATTCATCAACAGAGTCAATCCAATCGTCCGAAAATCCCAGTAATTGTTTTGAAGACATTAACAAGTTGACCCTAAAATTCCACTGGAAATGCAAGGTAGCCAAGACAATCCTGACAAAGAACAAAGTCGGAGGGCTCAAACTTACTTGATACAATTTTATTACATGACTCCACCTAACTCTCATATTGAAATGTAATCCCCAGTGTTGGAGATGGGGCCTGCTGGGAGGTGACTGGATCACAGGAGTGCATTTCTCGTGGCTCAGTGCCATCCTCTTGGGGCCGTCCTCGAAATAGTGGGTTCTCATGAGTTCTGTTCATTTAAAAGTGTGTGATACTTACCCCTCAACCTTGTTCCTGCTTTTACCATTACCGTGCCTGCTCCCCCTTTGCCTTCTGTTATGACTGGAAGCTCCCTGAAGCCTCCCCAGCAGCTGGTGAGACATTAGCACCATGCTTCCTTTGCAGCCTGCAGAACCATGAGCTAATTAAACATTCTTTCCTTATAAATTACCCAGTCTCAGGTATTCCTTTATAGTAATGCGAGTGTGCACTAGTACATGACTACTTACTCAGACTAAGTATAAAGCTACAGCAATCCAGAG